ATTGGGCTTCTCTCGCGACATTACTCGACGAAAGTAAAAAATACGATTATATCTTTACGAGCGAAACGATTTACAATCCTGACAATCACAAAAAATTATATGAAATTTTTAAGAGAAAACTAAAAGCCGATGGCGTCGTGTGAGTACATTGGATTACTGATGTCTTATTTTTATCATTAAATCTTAAGTTTCAAAATGGGTAAATTTCTATTAGATTTGTCGCTGGAAAAACCTATTATTTTGGCGTGGGAGGTGGAATGAGACAATTTGAGAATCTTATTTTAAAAGACGGATGCTTTGACGTCGAGCCGGTGTGGAGAAGTCAACATGGTGATTAATGATTAATTGTAAATATATTTTATCTTTGTTAGTTCAACAATATAAATTGTATACATTGCAGGAGTAAACAGAGAAATTCTGAAATTCACAAGGAAACTGCATCAAGAATATATCTAATGTATAATATTATTGTCTTCATAATACTATGAGGTATCGATTCGGAATGTCGTGATGATCAGCAATGACAATAGATACTTCTACGAGATTTGCTCGAATTTCTTTTTCTTCTTGTTTGTACACGAAAGTCGTTAACTCTCTCTGTCGTTTATTATCAATAAATATTGTGACTTTTTTTTACGGCGAGAGTCTCTCGTATACCCATCCATCCTTTCCTTCATGCACGAGAATATTATCTATTTTTTCATTCGTTTTTGGGCGTCTGAAACGGATTCTATCATGAAGACGATCGCTCTGACCTTGCCAAAATTCTACGGAGTGTGGCACGATGAGATAACCGCCCCTGAAATAAGATGTCTAATACAGTAAATGATTTAATCTTTATAAATAAACGATCTAAATTTAAAAATTATACTCGTGACACACACACACACAACACAACACACACACACACACACACACACACACACACAGATGCACGATACTATTAATCTACGAGTCTGTCAACGACAACAAATATATTAGTGTTGTTTAAACGAAGCAATATGCTGTCGCACGTGATTACTTATTCTTCTTTGGTTTTATCTTTCTCGTGTAAGAAATCTTTATATTCGGAATTGGAAAAACTGATTAATGCTTACGCGCGTACATTCTCCAATTTGATAGTGATTACAGTAAATACCAATTAACAGTGGCATGAAAGAAAGATATTAATGTTATAATTTTATACTAAACATAATATAAATGTAATATAACATATGTACATAATAGTTACATTGTTGAGCTTGGAATTGCAGCATTGTTATGTTAGTTGGTGTTTACTGAGTAATGATGAACTAATTATTTTTTAATTATAGTTACCTACCAACAAGCAGGTCTTTTAACTTGATTCTTTGGAAATTTTGCGAGCAGTTCCTTTTCTTTAATAATAAGGGTCTGTCTACTAGCAATTACACTACTTTGCTTGCTGGCCGTAGATCCGATTTGATTCTCATATGGCCGACTTCGAAAATAATGATCTGAATCTTCTGCTGAAGTTTTCTTGGCGATACCTTCGATACGTACCTAAAATAATTAGTAGTAATAAATCAATAAAATGATTATGATGAAAGAATTAATTAAATGTTGTTGCAAAAAATAATTTTAATTCGTGAAAACTTTGCTATTTATGAGATAAAATATAATGTAAAAAAAAAACAATGAATACTGTACACTTCGTCTAAGAGATTCCCAGTAGAAAGTTAATGCAGCATGCGGATTTTCAGCCTGTAAATCGAATAATATGTAATTTATTTGTTTTCTGGTATCAGAAAATATCAATTAAATATTTTAAAAAGTCTGAATTAAATATCTGAACTCACTAATTCGTGGCCTTTTCTACTGTCGTAATTCGTGTAAAACTTGAAACCTTCTGTGCCGAAACCTTTTAGTAACAATACACGCACGGACGGTATACCATCTCTGAAATAATTGCATTATGATGTGACAATGTGTTGATAATTATTTGCATAATCTTTTTATGCTCCCTTTTATGAAGCTTGTTTATCTTTTTCTTATTTTTCTTTTACGCGACTAATATTTTTGTTAATTAACAGATTGCAAAACACTACTAATTGTATTCATATAAACATTTTCTCTTTTTCAATAACATATATAACATGTGTTTATTTATATTCAATTTTATTACGAGATAATTTTTAAATTAAAAAAATGTTGCCTTGTTGCTGTCGCGAGAAGCATCGCATTAGGCTCTAAAATTCCTGGAGTATTGCATGCCTCCTCAAACCATGCTTTGAACTGTCCCATAGGCTCCTTGCTAATTAAATCATCCTCCGTAAAGGTCTCATGTTTATCTTTGTATTTTATTCGCATATCTGTAAAAAAAATGATATGAAAGTTAAAGATAAGTAGATTAATAATTTTCCGAAAATTTTTTTTGAATTTTGGAATATTTTTGAGTAACCTTTTGATTATTTTTTATTAATAATATTAAATTAAACATTGATATATGATTAGTTATTAATTGTAAAAAGCGTTCCTCAATATACGTACAATATTACGAGAAAATGAGATCTCGCAAAAATAGATTTCGATGATAAAAAAAATACGGCTAATGAAGATTAAACCGCATAGACATTAATAAATATTTATTAAGAAAAATCAACAAGTAAAATAAATGTTTATTCCTTATTTACAATACACATTAGCAAAATGTATATACAACATTATTTTTTAATTCGTCTTCGAAGGTTTTTGGTACTGTCGAAGTCATATATGCACTGCTTTCTAAATTTCGAGATAATTGAAATTTTTTACGGTTTTTAGGATTTTTAGGCACAATTCCATCAATGTAACTAACTTCAATTTTGGTTCAAATTTACTGTTTATCTTTTTTTAATTCTAAGAATTAAAAGAAGATAAACAGTAAGTTAAAAGTTTCAAAATTAAAGTTCATCTTATATTGGTGAAACTGAGCCTTAATGATCTAAACCATTAGGCATTTAATCTAATTTTAATTCTGGAATAAGTAAGTAAAACGTAAAATCATCTATGCTTATCAACATTTTACAGACCTTAAAATTTTACTCATATTGAATTTTTTCGCTTTGTGTTTTGACTCAAAAAGATAAAAAAAAATTTTTTTTTAATGCTCGGTTTCTTGATTCAACATGTTTTTTTATCTTTTTTTAATTCTTAGAACTAAGAGTAGTTGAACCAAGATAAAAATTTATCTATATTGATAAAAAGAGTTATTAGAATGTAGAAAGCGGTATATGTAGCTTTTCTCGAGGGCAGCTAAAAACTTTCTTCGCAAACAGAATGAAGGCTAAACCATATGTAGACCCATCGTGTGTAGACTGTAGAGTGCAATTTTTTTGTGATTAAAAAATTTTTATTTTTTTAATTTTTAATCAATTCTTGTTTATATTGCATTATAAAATTTCATGAACTATTAAACAAATTGAAAATGAAACGATTTGCATTAAATAATATAAATAATATTTAATTAATAAATATAAAATTCAAAAATATGTAAATAAAAATTCAAAAATGTTTTTTCTAATTAATTGTAATTGTTGTAATGCAATATGATAAATGCATTATTTAAAATGTAAATGTAATAAACGTTTAATTTAAATCTATTTATGCACTGTAAAAAAGTAATTTTCGGATTACTCGATAATAAAATTTTTTGAACAGTCGATACTTGGAACTATTTTTTTCTTTTATAGTTTATAATGTCAAGATGTTTATAATGTCAATGTTTAAGATATGAAAGTATATTTTTCCTTTAACATTTTTGTTTCAGAGTTTTGCATTTTTATATGAAAAAATGCATTTTTTTATTTCGACTATAATTAATTATAACATTTATATACAATTTTTTATAAATATACAATTATAAATATTTTCTAAAATTTAAAGATATCAAAATATAAGATCATTTTAATACTTAATATACTTAATAATTTTTATATACTTATAAAAGTGATGAAAATTAACCCAAGATACAAAAGGCCATCGTATGTAGTAAAAGTACCAAAAAATTTTTTACGCACGAGGTTTTATTGTCGAAAAATTAATTTAAAAAATCATAATTGAACATGTAATTAAGTATATAATTTAAAAAATCGTAATTAAAATATATAATCACATTATTATGTATGTAATAATGTTTGAAATTATTTATTCTTCCGATAATTTTACACACACACACACACACACACACACACACACACACACACACACACACACACACACACACACATATATATATATGCCACGTACACAAAGCAAACATTAGTTTATTACACAATATTATACAAAATTGACAGCTCTGTGTGGCGGTCATTTATTAATTTACCTCCAATGTCAACAGTGTAATTCTCACTCCGGAGCGACATGATGTTGCACCGTGTATCCAACTGACTCGACTGCTCAGCAACAGAATAGATGACCGATCTATGGCACAAACGAAGTGCGACTGGTACAAAACGCGCATGGATAGAACGCGTCATCGAATCAATACGTTTATAAATGGGAAAAAACGGCTTCGTCATTATTATCTTGATGTAGTAATCTGTTTGTCTGATAACATCATAGTTTCATTATCACGTGATACAATTACCCAACGACGAATGAAATTGCTCGGAATAAATGGGTCAGACATTTTTAAATCTACTATTCAAGCCATTAAAAATTCTAAATCAAAGGAAACAATTGAAGAATGTTATATATCTACTATTTTTAATGTTCCGTAAAATTATTTTAAAATAGATAATACAAATATAATTATTGCAATCAGGAGCAAGTGAGAGGCTTGGAATCTCGAAATAGAATCTCTCCTATGTAGTAATCCGTCATTGAAATTATCTTTTCCACTCTCTCATTAGATGGCGCAAAACGCAGGTATATTAATTAGCATGTTGGCGGTGTTTTTAATTATTAGTATTATATTGCTATTGCAGTGATCTTAGGAACGTTTCAATTTTAAAAATATTTTTAGTTATTGGGTAAATAACCAATATATAACAATGTCATAATATAATTCTTTATTTTATAAATCATTTTCACAACTAATTATCAAACGATAAAATAATTAAGTCGAGTGTAATTATGCATCGCGATAGGACAAATTGTCATTTGGGCAGTTTTACGGTTGAAGCATATTATATCTTTATCATTTTTATTTGCCAAAAATTAAGCACAATCACGCGTTTTGCAAAGTGATATTGGTTTAAATAGCGACATTTCCAATTTTAAATGCAGATAACAAGTTAGCGCAAATCAATCTTATATTTATATTATATATTTTGAATCTATATCTCTGTATATTTACAAAACTAATCGTTAATTAACTATAATTATAACTTTCATATTCTTTAGATAATCGTATCATTAGCATTTTTTTTTTATTTTGAACTGTCTCTCACAGCTTGTTCAATTATTAAAATTTAAATTTGTGTGAAAGTTGTTGAATCAGACAACATAAATCCAAAATTGGGACATGAATTACATATTCCATTTTTGGATGTGCAAGTTGTCTGATTTATCGTTTCTGATGGCAGAACCATATTTACGTTCACTATGGATAGTTAAGCTCTCACCACTGGCAGTGATCTATTTGGCGCGATCAGGGGCACTTTAATCATTCCGTCGCTATTTTTCACACCTTCGAATTGTGTGTCATCAACGTTGTTTGTTGTCACGAACGATGTAACGGTTTGCATAATAAGCGATGGTTTAGTATTTGTCGGTCTTGTGACTCGCTCGATTTTTCCGGCGCGATCCCAGCTCGTCTGATTTTCACGAGTCCGCGTTGCATCATTCGTAATGATTCGGGAACTGATTTTCTGCGAGAAAATCGCGTTACGATCATTCCGCATATCGTTAGCCGTGCGCACTCGTAATCGTCGCCGGCGCGTTCTAATTGTGGTCATAGTATTATTTTCATCATTCTTTATAACTCTCGCGGTAGTACTCTTCGGCGTTTCGATCGTGGTCGAGATTGTTTCGTTCAAACGACGATTTCCACTGTTGTCGGCGGACGCGAGCGAGTCTGTGCAATTTGGTGGTGGTTCTCGGTGCAGGTACGTGATCGGCCAGTGTCTGCCGTAGTAATTAGGATCATACGGACGATTGGGACGATCGTAGCGATCTTCGCTACCGATCATCGGTCGGAACGGTCGTGGGCTTGGTAGATAGGGATAGTACTTTTCGCTACAAGGTCGCCATTGATCCTCTGATAATCCCACGTAGCACCTGCAATTTATTAATTTTTAATTCTCTGCTTCTATTTACAAAGCACAAAGGAATCGAAGAAAGCTGCAGTATGAGAAGTAACAGGACACGCCTCTTGTAGATCAATGATGCTGTTCAGTTTTGTGTACTTAAACGCAGGATAAAATCATTCTTATCAAAATAAAAAAAAGGAACATTTTCTTTATCGCGTCTAACATAAATATCAATTATGAAATTTAAGATGTAAAAAGAAGAGTATATTACGTTGTGATATATCGGGTTGTAATAATATAGATACCATGGATAATGATATCCTTGCGAAAAGCCGCAATGATGAGTTGGTGCACAACAATAGTCCCAGCTGTCAAATCCGCCTCCTTCAGTCTCGCAGGCCCAAAATCCAGCGAGTTTATTTTTTTCGCATTTTGTACCTCTTTTACACGGATAACCGTTTACCGTGTAATAACGGAAGGTCGAGGATTCATCCGCTGATTTAAAATAAATTAATTAGTTTTACTTTACGCAATATTTTGCGAATAATTAAAAAGTTCATAATTGTCAAATTAATCCACTCACGGTAAAGAGATCCGAATCCACCGAGATAAATTCCGTATCCGAATTTGTTACCATCGTATCCATAACTACCAGAAGGATACGGTCTGACAGGATCAGGCTTATCAGGATCGAACGGTCTCACACCATGACTGCCCGGTTTTGTAAAGAAAGGTCTTGGATCGATATAAATATCATCGGGTCTTAGACTTGGATATTTTCCGAGATTAAAATCAGGTCGCGAATGATCTGAAAGCACTGGTTTCGGCGGATTTGGTCCACCAAGCCCGTGAGCATCATTCGGCGAATAACTGCTGACCACACAATAAGGATCGAGATCTTTCCATGTGTAAAGAACATGATCATTGTCGTAGGTATAGTCTAGACCCGGTCGCAAGTCTCTTATAGGTACATCACTGAGCAAACAGTTTTCTTCTGTGCCATGCGTAGTGAGCCTGGGAAATCAAACGAAGTTAATGTGTATTAATAAGAATTAAAGATAAATAATATTATTTTGAAATTTTTATTTTTTAAAAGAATAGAAAAGTGGCTTTATTATTGATTTTATTTAAATCACGAGTGAAAACAAATTTCAATTTATAAGAAATTACATATTATAATTATTATTAGAAACGTGCATGTTGTTATATAATTTGTTAAATTCAAAACAACATTCAAGAATTCTTTACTTGTAACTGTAAGACAAGCAAGGAACGGAATCAGTTTCTCTCATTTTTGAGCACTTTTGTCGACAATCTTGTTCCGAATTCACATATGTTGCCAAAAGAACAGCATAAGGTGTCAATTTGCACGGTTTGTCATATCCAGAATAGCATACTGTGAAAAGATTTATTAACAGAGAAATTTAATTGATTACAACTATATTCAAACGTAAAATAGTTAATATAATGTATGTGCATTAGATTGATGTATATTGCCTTCGTCTCCTTGCATTTGTTTGCCATTGAACCGTTCCATATTGAAAAACGGTACAGCATAAGGTTCGCATCCTCTCCCGAAACTGCCTCTTTCATATACTTCTGCTCCGTCCATATCCGGCATGTGGGTAGGGTTGATATCTTGCGATGGCCAATCACTTAGGTAACAGTTAGTTAGAATATCCGATCGTCCATGTTCCAATCCATATCTGAAATATTTCGCAATATATAATACTTTATTAAAACAATCCATTTAATTTAACTACTGTTGATTTCGACATGAAAGACTTACTTGAACGTGAAACTTCTACACATAAAATCGTGCATTGTCATACATTCTGCCTGACACTCTCCTAGATCGTTGACTATTAGCGATTTTCTAACGACGTCCGTGGGCATTCCAAATCCACTTCTGACTCTCCAAAAACATTCTAGAAAAATTTCATAAAGAAAAACAAGTCCTTGTAACTCGAGAATTTTATATCAAACTGGGAAAGAGAGAAAGAGATAGACAATTCATTGTTGTCGATTTTAGTTGTTACCGGGAACACAAAGCGGAACGTATAGTAACGCAATCGAGGGCAGTAGTGTAACGCTCGAAACGATAAATTGCATTGTTTGTTGAAAGACAATTTTATTTATCCCCTGAGTAGTTTAGGAAACGGAATAATACATTAAAAATTATTTTGATTAAATTGCATTTGTATAATTGAAAGTAATTCACAGTAAAGTTACTTCAATCAAATCGTATACCATCTGGAGGATGCGAGCTTGGTTCTCTTCTCGCGCTGCATGTTCTTGAATTGACGATTATGGCGTAAATATCGTAATCACGATCAGGCTCGAGATCAATGTAAAAATTCAGATCCTTGTATGAAACATCGCTGAGAAGACAATTGTCCGTTGGGTCCGTGGGTAATACATTGTATCTGTCCAATTATAATGTAAAAAATTAAATTAGTATTATATTGTATATGAATTTGATATTAAAGGACCCTACATTAATTATATGGAAAATTCGATTTCGGTGAAATCAGTTTTCATATATAATGTAGTTCATAATGATGAATAAAAGATCGACACAAGATTCAACAATGGATAGTTTTTAAATGTATAAAATTTATACTTATAGAGCATTTTTGATATATCATAACTAAAAAATTAATCCATTATTGAGTCTTGTATTTATGATATCTTTTGTTCACAATATTGTAAGCTATATTATGTGAAAACAAACTGATTTCATCAGTATCTAATTTTCTGTGTAATTAATGCGAGGTCCTTTGTCATACTGAAAACAATCGTATTGTAATTTTTCTATTATGAGTTATTAAAATGTACCTGTAGCTAAAACTCATGCAGACGTAGCTCTTCTCGCTAATGCACAGATTCTCGCACTGATCCAGATTTGACGTCAGATACGTTTTTCGTACGACTCCTCTACTGAGCCTGAATCCTGCACCAGCTCGGACGGAGCATTCCTCGGTACTTGTGGTTCCGCCGTAAAGCGAATCCTGGTTGGCCGGTATATAATTGTCACCATATCCGAATGCGCCGCCGTAATTATAAAACTCGCCGTAAAATTGATCGTTATTGTAGGGTTTAGGCTGAGATTTTGGATGATATTTCGGTATATCAAAATTTCCCACGTAATTCGTGTCGTAGCCATAAGAGCCACCGTAAACGGAGCCGTAAGAACTCCAGTCACGAGTTGGATCCTTTCGATAGTCTGGCAAATACGAGCCGATTTCGTTCGTGCCTGCGACATGACGACATATATGAACAATAGAGCGGAATTCGGATCAAACAAATAAGCGCGATACAAACACTAATGAATAATTTATTTCAACAAGTGCGAATAGCACTGCGAGTACTCATTGAAGCAAATTGTTCATTCGTGTTTGTTTACGTTCGTTTGTTCGGTCGTTTACATTGTAGTAATCATGTAACTTTTTTCCTATGCACAAAAAGAATAGTTTTTTAAGACATTAATCTAACAAAATTATGTTTAGATTTATATTCAGCTAAGTATCTAAAATTGAGCTAGATAGATACATTTAAATACAATTTTGGATTGTCAAAATAATTATGTAGGAGCTCAAGTTGGTTGCTAGAATGTTAAAACTTTTTGCAATACTGTTTATCATGCTTGAATTTTTTTACATAATTATTTTAATAATGCAACAAAAATTTTTTTCAAATCTGTATTTACTTATTTTTATATACTTTAGCAAAATTGTTCTTTCCATACAGGATAGAAAAGTGAAAAATTTTTCCATTACCTTGAATGACAAAAATATTTCCATTTTTCGTGTTTTCGTCTTAGGGAAAAAAATTATATGACCGCTTGCTAAATTTCATTTTACGTGTTGTAACATGAATTCTTTGCAAAAAAATGATGCATGTTAGTATCTATATTTACATGTTTAAAATATTACCTATGTCGTGATCGATTCTTCTACTCGGATATCGTGTCCATGGATTCCTGTTATAAAAGTCATCGTCGGTTGGTCGTCTGGATGGAAATCGAACACTATAAATAAATCGATCTTCCGGTCTCGTTGCTGGATATCCACCCCTTATTGAATCGGGATAATTCCTTCGACTAAACGTATCATCATGCAGTCTGTGATGAGGATACCCGTAAACAATGGGTGGTTGCCGATCGTGTTCCGCAAGTCTGTGATCCAAAGGCCGCGGAATCTCGTTTGAAGGACGCCGATCGTAATCGAACGGTCGTGGAATTTCCTGCAAGGGTCGTCGATCGTAATCCAGAGGTCGTGGCACTTCATTTAAAGGTCGTCGATCCGGAGCATATGGTCTTGAGTCAGATTTGTGTTTGATTAGAAGTGAAACTTATTTTATTTGAACGATGAATAAAAAAAGGAAGCGCATTGAATTCACGGTTGAGCGATTAGTTAAACGACAATAATTTGATCAACTGCTTGTAGGAATCAAGCGTCTCGTCTTTGTTGTAAATTACTATTCTTTCGTAAAAATAAATCGATGGCAATCATTCTCATTTCTCAAGAACTATTCCTACTAATCGACTTTGTTGTAATATAATATCGCTCATTTATTACAATAACGACATAATTAAAAAATTGTCATTTTGCTTACAGAAAAAGAACAGAAATATAAAGAAAGAAAAAATAGGACATACTTTTATTCTTAAACAATCAATTATTACATAAAAATTGCGTTTTATAATTAATATTACGAAGTTTTAATGATTCAAAACATTTAAATTCTAGAAAACTTTGTACGATTGTTGTAACAGAGAGATTGTAAATGAGCGATAGATATTAGTATTTTTGTATATTATTAATGAGCAAAATTTTAATTACCTTGGCCTTTCATTAGGATAATAAGGTGGGCCATAAGATTGACCAGGTCTGGATGGTTGATTCCACCAGGATGGTCGCGTCTCAGGCGTGTTTATCACGCAATTGGGATCTTTCTCATAATAATTGCATTGTGGATCCGATATGAAGTCCTGATGAAAATTCATACGAGAATAAGGCACCGATGTCATCTCGCATATTCCTCTCGTTCCATGTCCAATGCGTCTTTTTTAACAAAATCGTGATTACTCGTTAATAAATATATCACTATGAATTTAAATTATTTATTATTAACAGTTTTGGTGGTTTTTCCTTCGGCGTATGTTAATTGAATGTTGAAAAACAGCGGTAATTTTCCCGACGCGCGTGCGTGATAGTTCTCCTCGACGGAGAAGCGTGTCACAGATTGTGGTGCGATCAAATTGTCCGTGATGCAACCGCACGGTGGGTCATGCACGTATGTACTGCATTTTGCGTGCGCATCTGATAATAGGTACCCTAGATATATACGCATGTGTATAGAAACGCATAAAATCATTGAAAAATTCCGAGCGTAAATAATCGCGTTTAACTGTTACGTAAATTATTTTTCGGCTGTCTTGTAAGGATACTGAAATATAAATATTTAATTAACACTTTTTCGTGGAAACGTCTAGAGCTAACGAATTCATCAAGGAAGTTCTGTCATTGAAACATAATATATTTGCATTGTGGAGTCAACGTCAATTCGACGTATATTTTTAAAAACAATTTAACGAGTTGATAATTACGCGAAATAAATATAATAGTTTTGCTGAATTATCTAAAAATTAAGCTACACAGATTTGAAAATAATTTTATTTTTTACCATCAAAATAATTATATTGAATATTCAAACTGAATGTTGGTTTTGCAGCGTTATTATCATGCTTGAGTGTTTTACATAATTATTTTGATAATCTAAAATTATTTTCTAGCTAAATTAAATATTCCAGCAAAACTATTGTTTCCGTGTATAAATCTAATTTTCCACATATTTTTTTCCATAAATATTCATTAAATATTTAATTACCGATAGTTGAAGCCCTCGCAAGTGAATCGCTTCTCATAGTCGCAAGCGCGATGGCAGTCCTCGAGTCTTTCACATTCAATGGCACGTCTAACGTGTAGATCCAAGCTTTTCTTGCCGGATAGCAGTCTTCTGTAGCACGCTGCAGCAAGAACAAAAAAAGAAATTTCAACTTTGCACTTTTTACAGAGGTAGCATTTTTTCTATACAACTTACGCAAACACTCGTCCTCCACTATAACTATCGAACTCGAAGTAGTACGTCGGGCAATTACGACTAACATAAAGGTCCACAACCATCGTTGACGTATCGACATGATTCTCATGTACGATGGAATCAGTTTATCTCAGTCAACGTAACATCCGAATTAAGATCACGAGAGAGGCGATGCGAACGTAAGATGCAAAACGATTCTTGCTTCAACATTTCGAATTTTCGATTTGTTCTCGCGATACATCACGAACCGCAGTGAAACGTAATCATTTTGTTGTCACCCAAGGGAATTTTCACGTTTAAATCACCCCTCACGCTCCCGCACGTTTTGCGTAAAAAATGGCGCGAACTGAAAATCACGCAAAAAGTAACGGAGAAATTACAGGCTCGCGTCGTTTTATAGAAAAGTGAACGTTTCCGTGAGGATAGTGGGAGGCACCTGCTCACACGTCGGGGGAGGGGTTTCAGCGTTACATGATCATTAATGATTCCACTTACTATTATTTTTCTTTGCTCACAGACACGCAAGTGCTTCATTCTTTTGCCGTGCATCGTCATTTGGTATTTTATGCAATTACATAGAATGGATTAACGAGTCGCTTGTCGTTTTAAGTAATTACAGGATGCAAACCTTTAATTGAGACATTACCGTGCAGGCGCATATATTTTTGTAGCATTGTTTGACTTATTTTATCGAGATTAGCATTATTTATTTCCTCGAATTAATTTTAATCAATATTTAACTTATTTTACTTTATTATTGTACTTTAAAGATGTTATTTCGCATTCAAATTTTAATAATTCTTTTCTAATGATTTTTGACATATATTTTTTGTATTTCTACCCGAAACATAAAAAATTATTATTTGTTCACCATTAAGATCTCTACTCAGAAACCAACTGCCGGAACCATTTGCATTTTTCCGTCGTTAAAAAGAATTTTTGTGCCAAGGAACAGCAAAGAGGAGTGACATCATTTTAGAAGGGATATGCTGTGGCGTGTCCTTCGAGATATTCGTCAGGGTCACAATTACTTCAATTATTTCAGCCAGCCTGGCTCTTAATAACTCACACCATAACTTTAGTAAAGCTATACTTCCGCGTTTGAATTAGTCAGCTAGATTTAATTATTCCCACCGTTATGCGATTATTATAAGTTGAATTTCGAGATTGCTTGAGAAGTAATTCAATGATGAAATTTTATAAATCGTGTCACAATCGACGTGCCCAATCGATTGCAACAATTCCTGATCAAAACGACGGACAGGCTACGCGCAATTAATTCGAAACACAGGCAGCAATAAGGGATTTAACTGTCGAAAGTAAAAGCGCTTTATGCTCATAGATCACGCGAACCGGAAGCCAAGCTGTAGTGTCTCGGCATTTATATTTCTCCCTTGTGCAACTTGTCATGTACTGTGGTGGCACAATCACGAAAAGTCATCGAGTTTCCTTTAACTGGTCGTTGCTCGGACGACGAACTTAGCAAACAAAAAAATTTTTAATCTAAATGTTAGAGACGTACATTTCTTGTAATGATTATTTAACTGAATGCATATTGTATTGTATTTTTACTTTTAATAATTCGAGTAACAATTATTTATGGTGAGTAACTCGCTAAGCAAAAAGATGCACGCAAATTATATGATAAAAGTGATTAATACCGGAAGTCAATGGATGCAATGAGCTAATTTGCGTATAGTTTAAAATCCGTGTCAATGCCATTGCTATTTGTCAATCAGTTTGCAGATGAACGTGACTCGATAAACCCTGGCAGTTGGTTGCAATTGTTAGGTTGAGCTAGTTGATAGCGTGGAATAATGAATTAACAATTAATGTACAACACTGTGACTAAATTTTCTGATGCTTTTCGCATCTCTAACATCTAGTTTTAAAATATCACGATAAGATGTTTATTAATCTATTAAAAATATGTATTTTTTCTTTTTAGTGTATTTATAGGTAACTAAACTATTTTATTTCCAAATAAATAAAAATAATTTAAAAAAATTAGACACGTCAATTTAAATGTGATGTTATATTTATAATTTAATATGAAATTATAATTATTAATTTAAAATGAAATTATTAATTTATTCAATTCGGTGTCCAAAAGATGCATTAATGTAACAGAACAATGTCGTTTTACGTAAGAGAGTGATAATCAACTTGTGGAACGCAGCGCAAGCATACATCATGCAATCGTGTGATTGCTGCATAAAAAAATTGAGGTTGCAGCTCACATATGCGATGTTAACTGCAGTAACAAGTGTCCGAAGATTTGTGTCTCCGGTCTTTCGTGTACACGCCTCGTTAAAGATAGAGATTCGCGTTTCCGTTTCTCGAGGTGTTAGAATTATTATACATCGAAAGCTAACACATTATGCGCAGATTGCATGCAACAAAAACTATATTGACAAAAAAATAGATGACTGATCATGAGTGAAAATGAATTCAAATACTTACATTTTGATTTTTCGGTGATCTTCGTACCGAAGTCGCGAAACATCGTCATCAGTTCTGGATTCCAGAATTCAGAAGTATCCTTGAATCCTTTGTTCGGGATTCTTGCTTCATTGTCGAAACCGTAAAGATTGCTGATAGTTGGACGAGAAGAGACTTTGCGGAAATCATAATTTCCAGCATCTAATTCGTTTTGTTTTGATTTTATGATAATCCCTGGATTTTTATACACGTTATTGTGAAATTCTTGATGCCGATGCTGATCAAAATGATTTGTAACGCGGTGTTTTGTTGTATCGTGAGCGTTCGAAAATCCGAAATTCGCTGGTGATCTATCTTTAGAGGCTCCATCGTAGATAAAGATAGGTCTCGAAAACACTTCGAAAGGTCCGTTATGAACGGAGAGGGACTTATATGAATGAAGATCATTATCTAGGTCTGATCCAAAATTCAGGTGATTAACATCATTGAAAGGATTTTGAAAAGATCCATGAAAATCAGGACGATTGTACTTTGGATCCGAGTGCGTTCGTTGACCGAAAGCCGATTTTCGGTTTGAATATATTGATAAATCATTATAGTCGACTTTTGCGTTATTAGTTATAAAAGGGTTGCTGGTAGGTGATATCGGATTTCTGTTTCTAACGATATCAGTGATTCGACGCTCATCGTCGAAGGAAGGCGTATATCCTCGTTGATATGAAGGATCATTAACGTTAGGCATCATATTTCCCATAGTTCTTCAAACGTGAAAAACATATAGTTGTATTTTTAAATCTGACTATTTTATATAAAATAATCATTAAAAAATCAGATTAAAGATAGTATTCAATCAAACTATTTATTTTAAAGAATTTCTTTTCTCTAATTCTTTTCTTTTCTCTAATAAGTGAATACTTATTTTGATAACCTATTACAAAACAACTATTAATGAAGATGAAACTCTTTGCATATTAACATGTTTTGTGCCGGGCCAATAAGTGACTTGACCACTACATCGTATGGTGATCGAGTCATTTATTGGCACCATCATCCACGATATTTTTGTTTGTGTTTGTTATATTTTTAAATAGCATATATTTCATAATGGTGTTAAAAAAATTACAAAAATTATTATGAAGAAAAGGGTCTAATGTATTAATATGCATCATATATCATAATACGTATTCACATGTCAAAATTATATAGAAAAATATATCAAAATTATATAAAAAATTTATAATTATGTTTCTTTTTAATCAAAATATCAAATGGCTTGAAAGAAAGTCATCCAGCGTAAGTATTTGAATCACTAATGACTCACGCAGACGGAATATGTTAATACATAAAAAAAAAACTTTTAAATTTTAGTAAAAAAAACTTGTTTTACTGAAATACATAAAAACTCAGCAATATAGATATAGATATAGATATATAGATATATAGATATAAAGGTATAGATTTGAAAATAATTTTGTAGGACAATCAAAATAATTATTCAGGATGTTTAATAACTTTTGTAGCGTTGTTATTAACGAGTTCTACATAATTGTATTTTAATGACTGTATCTATTATAATAAATATCTAAATTTTTAGGTACTTCAGCAAAACTTGTTTTTCCTGAACACATGTACTTGTATTTTTTATAAAATATAAACGTATTTTCATTTTTTTAAATATATTTGTCTCACGGAAGACTAAGATAAGAATAAACAATGGAGATGCTAATGATGGAGTTATTTCCTGAAATTAATAATCGGATAATCGTACATATATATATATATATACCTTGGAGATGACAAGATATTTGGCATTGTTGAGCCCAAAAAGCCGCTTCCGAATGTCGTAGTTGGCATCGTCTCATTTCTTCTATCTTGTCCGATACTACCGCTTCCCATCTTGTAAAGTCGATCTGGTTCGCAATGTGGAGAACGTTGACTTCTCACGTAGACATCATAATCAGCATGACTTTGTAGATCTTCTGGCTTCGGCATTTTTACACTCAGAGCACATGTTCCGTTACCTTTCATGCCAATCCTAAATCAATATACACGTATACACAAAGAGAGTTAACACATCATCATATAGAAACAAAAATATGATCTTGTTTTGAGAATTTTTACATTTATGTTTCTTATTTTTCTTTTTCTTATTGTGATTTGAATCTTTTATTGCATTTATATAACGTAATATACCCGAAAGCGAACGCGTTACAGGAATTTCTCCTTTTCGAGCACTCATCCTCGCATTCCGAAATGCTACCGACCGCGACGTTGGAGAAGATATCCATGTCCGGCAATTTCGATCCGATAGCTATTCTCGTGTAGCAATCTGCATGATGTAATTATCACATTTAATTGTTATGTCCATATTCTTTGGCAACCATTCATTATTACTTACCATTCGCGATGATTACAAGTTGATTATCAATCATGAGACCAATCGAATGCGATACTTGACAGAATCGCAGGAGATAAATGAGAAAAACAAGAAATCCCTCCTGATGACCCATTGTTAACAAATTCTTCATGTTTTAAGGATACTTTACTTCACTTTCACATAGCGTATATAACTATCTTTTTTTTTTCGTAGAAATAACTCTCATTCTACGTTATTATAACAGAGTCGCGTAACAGGAAGAGTATTTACGTTTCAATTAATCCTGATTTACTCTTCCAATCCTCATTAGCAGAAGTCACATGTAAACTTTAGTTATTGCTTTCTAGCCGTTATCTGGTGTTCTATTCTGTCTGCGATCTATGAATCACGGTTCATTCACACGAGACGTCCCTGAAAGTGTCCATTCGACGGGAGATGCGCATATGTGATGAGCGATCGCCGCGATTACGAAGGTAATTGTCAACAAAACCTTCCCAACGACATTACGAGTCGTATTTCAAGAAAAATCGTTGACGTACACACGCTATGCAATTGCAAAAATAATTCTCGTTGTAAAAAAAATTTTGTATCTTTTTACAAAGATAAATTTATAGATCACTATGATTCGTGTTCACTGGATCACTGGCTTGATCGACATCTCGAGACGAAGTGAAGACCGCGTCGATGCGCACGAACAATCTATCTTCTGATTTCTTCCGCCAATATTAACGAGTTCCTTTAATTAATGGGCCGAGCGTAACTAGCGTGTCGTTCTTGCTGCGGTTCATTATACTTATCGCGTACGAGTCCCTTGTGTCGTGCCTCTTACGATTGGCTCACAACTGAGAGGATCGTGTAACTGTATCATTGTCTTATACAGCACAGCCGGTATTATGATCTTCTGTTTCCTCCGCTTGCTCCGCTTCTTCTCTTCATCTTCTCCTACTCGCTCCTTTGCGTGACGCTTGCACGCTCAAAGGAGCTCGTACTCGCTTCTTTAAGGATCTGTGCACATGCGAATCTCTCTCTCTCTCTTCTCTTTCTTTGCGATTTCGCGGCTGTATTTAATTAACGCACCGGCGAACGGAGCAAATCGTGATGTTCGTAAGATTGCAAAATCGAATTGTGTACTCCTCGCGCGTTCGCGTAAATTGTTCACGATATCTCACGCGTGCAATTCAGTTGTAAACTTTACGATTCTTCGTTATCAAAATTTGTACCATTGATTATCAATAAAAAAATTAATAATTGTAAACTTTGTACGGTTACGATAAATATTACGAATATTGTCATTTAAAAATTTAACATAGAAATGCCAACAAAATTTAATATACAAGTTGCGTAGAGTTTTCAATATTATTGTTTTAACATCCAAATTATTTTACACATACTGAATTTTTTATAGTGTTTTTCTTCTTCAATTATTTTATAGTACCTAATCTTATTTTTGAGAATTTTTTGCGGTCTATTCCATTTACCGGAAGGGGCCGATTACCTCATTCAAAGAAGCGCGATCGTTAACAGGAAGAAAGTGAAAATGCACCTGTTGCAACGGCATGACGAGATGAAATTCTTCGTGTTTGGTAAACTTCAGAACTCAAGTTGTCTCGCGCGCACGTGTCCAGGATTCGAGGAAGGCAATTTTCTTGCCTTTCTCTATGTAGTAGGCGTGTCAAGAAGGGCGTGTAAAGTCATCATTACGCCGGTTCTCTTTGCGTAAAATCGATGCAGTTACAACGCGACGATTGCGATTAGTCAATCTTGTACCTACTGTTTTACGGCCTATTGTCCTTAAACGGTAATAAAACTCCATTATGCTCGCACGGTATGTTAATCGAGCTTTCAGTTTGTTAAAAAATATTGCTTGTTTATAACGCATTATCGCTGCTGCTTTGCTTTCGACTAATTGCGAGCGCTTTTACTCGTGCGAAAGCCGCGCGCGTAATCGCATCTTTGCAATTATCTATCTCGGAGTTACACTACATTTTAGAAATGAACGGATAGTTAATTATAGTCTGTGTGTGTGTAACGGTACATTCTCGTATCTTTCCGGTTTTGAAGTCTCATCTTCAGTCTTATTTAAGTACATCTATAAATGCTCATCGAAAAGATGTCAAGTAATTGATTCAAACGAATTTATACCGTTCGATAGCAATACAGCTATTCGCAATGTAACTTATATATTTGATAATTTATATTGTAATTTATATATTAATTTATATTAATTTTAACTACACGATTCTACATTTCTAACAATTTTCCTTATACTTTTCATATCAGAGCTCATGTATTCTTTTTCCTCTAAATTCTTCACATTGCGTGAGCTTAAGGTCTCTCTTTTTCACATACATATATCAAGTATCTCAGTGTTTAAATTATGCCAGTGAAGAAAAACATGAGTTTCGGGTTCCTTGACTCTCGCACACGCGAGTGACCCTGAGCACAGAGCGCGTCTTGTTGCTGCGTGTAGGTTTTGAAGACGCCGCCGCACAGTCCTAATGAGCCTAGATGCATAATAAACGGACGCTTACATAACGAAAATGGGATGAGTTACACGTAGACAAAGCTGGGACGTCACGCTCCGCGAGGCCTGGCCTGGAGTGAGAATGAGTCATTGTGTGATTATCACTCTCTGACGTAGCGAGACGAGCAGATTTCCCGAGGAGGCACAGCTTTTCGGACTTTTCGAACAAGCGTATCTTATCTTGACCTTGTTTAAAATAATATTATATCTCTCAATTTAGTGTTTTATATTTAATTATGAAATATAAGGTAGACATCACATAGAGTGAATACTTTAAGCAATAAAACCTGTACGTTATTAATCATACAATTTAACAGGAGCTCGAAGGAAAATTATTTATAAATGCATTATATATTTTTTTATCATAAATATATTTTTTTTTGTTATAAAACCTTTTGAAAATATGTTCAATGAGAATGCGCGCGTGATCATGCCTATCATATAATATATGCAAAAAGTAAAATGTTTTTTTCTTAAAAATATCGAAATTCATCGTTTGCATAGCATAGATAAATATTCGAACTTAAAGTTTAGCAGTCTTCGCGAACAACGTAATATAAATTGCTACTCTTAACGCTGAGTCACTACCGTGTCTCCACATTTAAGCTATTTCATGCATAAATAATTCACGCACCGACGTAGAATACTGTTGTTTGTATAAAATTATGAAAATAAAAAAAGCAGTTAATCATTAAGTAATTATTATTGTAATTTGCGAAAATTAACTTTCTAATAGCAAGTAGCATAATCGTCATGCGTACATTAATCAGTTTTTGCACAACACGTAAAATCACGTATTTCTATTATCACATTATGAAGTAGAATTAGAATACGTCGAAATTTATCGAATTAGAAAATTTTGAAGTATGTGTAGTTGATAACTGAGTTTCATGCAGAATGCATTTCCCATTTGTATTGTCATAACTATAATTTCGATTTGATATTTTTTATACCGCGTTATCATGAGATCTACATTTAATATGCAAAAAATATAATCTTTTTTGTTTATCAAGCTCAGTTTTATACTTATTTATAATAAAAACTCGGTTTACATACTGGATAACTAAAATAAGAGAACAAACTTCGAAGGTGAGTTCCTCACATCAAAACACGGAAAAAGTTTATATAAACATGCCGAAAAAAATATTTTTAAAAAAGAAAATTATACGCCAAGTACATAAAAAAGATATCGAATGTTCACACTTTTTTTAATAAAAAAAAACAGATTTGAAATAAATGCACTTAGCTAAGTATTTTATTACTTAAAAAAAATTTTGAAAAAGCTCATTTGTAAAGAAACCTATTAATTATTAGACACATAAGAAGAACTTAATAATTAATATGATTAACTGAATTTAACTTTTTTTTCAAATTCATATATGAAATATTTGTTAATAGAGCCTAGTTCGACGTATTAAAAAATGAGATAAAATGAGATACTTTGAATGTATATTGCAATTAAAAATATATTGATAATTAAAAATAAATAATATTAAATAATAATATTACTTTTTCGTTTATATTAATAACATTTATTGTATCTCAGTAACAGTGAATTTGCGAATATATATTTACATGTTTATATGTTTGTATGAACTTTTTTCTTACTTGATGTGGGAGCTTGTCGCCCCAGAAGTTTGTCGCTTTATTTTAGTTACATCCTGTATAATGTCTATTATCATCGATTTAATTTTCGCGTTAAATCCACGCGAGCGTCGTAAAAAAGATTTGACTAACACCAGACTGGAAGAGCAGATGTTCAATTGCTTTGTGTTTTATACATATGTATATTTTGTATCTCGAAAACGAAGGCGCGTCACGAGACAAAAATTTGTGGTTTACTAACGAAACTACCTGCAAAAGTGCGGCATATTTCAGTGTTTAGTAAACTCTTTGGTAATTGACGATGATTCCTAAGCGAGGCGCAATTTTTACTTAATTATTGCCGTCTTTTTTTTTAATGAACTATTACAACTAACAACAGGTAAATGGCTTCTCGTGTATGCCGTGTGCAATACTGGTGTTCTGCGGGCTCTCCTCGATGGAGGGCGAGGGCAGCAGCATGTCATCGTTTCTAAAAAAGTTATTAGAGTCGGAAATCTTAAGAGTAGTGTTATCGTTATTGTCTGATGCCATTCTTCGTAGACCCATAGCGATCGCCAGGAAAACGGTTTTTACACCCTCGTTATATAGCACTGAAATCTCATGATATGTAGCACCAATTGTTGTGGCGTACCTCCGACCCTCCTCACCGTCGACTTGACGCTTTTGCACCAGATCAGATTTGTTGCCGATCAAAACTAGCACCATCGTCTCCTCCACATTCTGTTGTAGCTCCTTCACCCAACTCTTGATTGCGACGAAGGTGCTATACTGCGTAAGATCGAACACTAGCAGAGCTGCGTTGCAAGTCCTGTAGTACATCGGCGCCATGGAGCGAAATCTCTCTTGGCCAGCCGTGTCCCATACCTATATAAAAGTGGGGGCTTCTTTAATTCTTTATATTAATTTAATTCTCTTTAAACATTGCTAAAATCAGTATTGTTGCTAGATAAAGCATGCATTTTTTTTATGTCATTAAAAGTGCAAAGATATTGAGACAATCAAAGCGAAAAGGGTGGATCGAAATCAAGAAAAGATAATACAAACAAAAAACGTAAACATCGAAGCAATGTACTTAATCTATTAAATTAATTGCTGAATATTAATATAAAAACGTAAAAAAATATAATTTTTTAAAATCCTACTTGCAATTTTATCTTCACATCTTCCAAATTGATCTTGCAGTTGAAGAAAGATGCTGCTATTGTAGGACTTACATGTTCGACATTTCCAACGTAACGTCCAATTAAGCTCGTTTTACCAACACCTGAAAATAGTATTGAGTATTATATTTTAATTATACTTTCATACGATATTATTATTGTTTAATATTAGTTGAGACACTTGATAATGTTATATTTATCGAATACCGTTTTACATACAAAAAAAATCGATTGTCTTGTCTAATACCAAGTATTTCAGATTATCTATAATTGAGTCTTTATTCGATATAATGCAAATAAATTAATTTTTGCATAATCAATTGCATTCATGCAATTATATTTAATTAAAAATTAAACAATGAAGAAAAAGGCCTCTCTCTCTATAAACGGTCGCAAATAGATATTAATATCTATCTAATGATATTTTTACGTTACATATTTTACATAATCTTTCCAGTTCTTTAAATTGCACGCCGATTACTCGAACTTATAAAGAACATCATAAACTAAAATGATTTCACAAATAAAGTTCAATATCAATTTTGATGATAATGCTAATAGTAACTTATTGTGAAAAATATTACCTCAGTCGGGATTTGGCATATTTTTTGCAATAAGTTATTTACAAATATTAAGTTGCTATTAGCATTATGATCAAAATTGATATTGGGCCTTTTTCCTTAATTGTTTGATTTATTCATATAATGGTATAGATGAACTTATTATTGCTTATATTTAATTATTTATTTTTAAATAGATAATCATATTTCTTCAAATAAACGCTAAATTTAATATATATGATAATTTAATCATTAAAACTATTACAAAATGTAAGAGTGAGAATATTAAGCGAATTTGGAAATAGATAATGGGAAGGACAAAAAGACGAGCAAACTGAAGGTGAAAAATTATAATAATTTATTAAAATATGATATTAATTTTTCAATCAATTTGTTCGTCTTTTTGGTCATTTCATTGTCTATTTTTATTTTAGAACATCACGAGTTGAACCGTACCAATTAAGTGAATTCTTATTATAAATAATATAATTTATAATTTCCACTTTAGTGTCAGATTTCAGAATAGTGTATTATATTTTTATAATTTTACGCTGAATTTTGATGTATCTATTTTAATATATACTTTATATATGTATATTTCTGATTCTTCAAATCTTTTATATTACTCAACATATAAAAATATAAGTAGAATTCCATTCCAAATTCTGAAACACCTTGTAGATCTTTAATGAATATTATGATTGAGTGGCACGCATGTTCTAACGTTCGGCATTGTTTTTGTGTGACGTAAAACGCGTCGTTTGTATCCATGCGCCGCGTGGCGGTCGCTTTTCGGTTAATTCGTGTGACGACGTTCGGGCAAACAGGCAGCGGCGCGAGCTGTTCCGCATGTCGTCGCGTTAAATTCCCTCAAGACGACGATTAATAATCGCGACGATTTCTAAAAGAAAACGCGATTGTTCTTTATGATTATTTTGTACAAATATCTATCCGTATAACTAAACTTAATTTCCATTCGAATAAGAATTTCTAGGCGATAATTATTTATTGAGATAAAATACTTCGCGCGACGCATTTATCGGAAATAGGAATCAAAACGCGCAGCACGAGATAGGATTTGTAAATTACCTTTTCGCGACATTTACTAAGTGTATTAAATATCCCTTTAATAATTCTTGAATCGATATGCGTCGCTTTACTGATATATAATGAGTCTTTTAAATAATTAATTGATCATTCGCGCTCGCGTACGCACAATTGCTTAATCTTTATTAATACGATGATCTTTATGATTCGTAAATGTATTGAAGTAACGATTATTAGTTATAGTGGACATTTTATACGATTGATTTGTCGATTATTTTCGAATTCGCGAAGTAACATGTAATTGCTGGATCAACGAAGTTCGAAGGAAATCCACGGCACGTAGCGATTTAATAATCATCAATACGAAAATATGACATGAATAAAAGATTCGGAACCCATTTATTTTATATTTTGTGATAGCGATAAATTGTTTAACGGTTATACAACGTTTAATGCTCACTGTCCGTTGCGATAAAGTATACGTTCATACGTAAGGTCATGTTGACATTCACGCGGCGAAACTCGCCAACGGACAGCCTGCTATTGTTATTATCCTTCCTATTATCGAAATACGATCGCGAGTATTAGAAGACATGATCAAGTCTTTTAAATAATTAATTGATTGATCATCCATGCTCGTGTACGCGCAATTGCTTTATCTTTATTAATACGATGATCTTTATGATTTGTAAATGTATCGAGGTAACGATTATTAGCTAAAGTGAACATTTTATGCGATTGATTTGTAAAGACCGAAGCAATAAGAAACATAAAAGATACGATTGTTATTATTATTCGTATTACGGTATTTCCGGGAAATTTCAGTATTACGGACAATTAATTCTTTAATGAATTTTGATATTCTCAAATATATGTTTCTGGATCTGTGCATGGAAAGAATGGTTTTGCAGAAAAATTTAAAATTTTATCTGGATACAGATCTGAAAATAATTTTGTTTGGACTATCAAAATAATTATGTAGGACAAATTAATTGTTAGAATGTTAAAGCGCTTGCAACATCGTTATTAAAGCTGAAGCGTTCTATATAATTATTTTGGTCTGACAAAATTTATTTTTAGATGTGTCTAGCTAAATTTTTAAATACTTTATAAAATGGTTCTTTCTATGTGTATTTTTAAACATGTTATAATTAGCTAGAATTTTAATTAATTATATCACATCGCAGCTATTGACATAAAATTGCCAAAGTCATTTTTAAAGTATCAGTCATTAACAGAAGAGAGTCGTTCGTCGAATTGACAGACAGATCTAACTTATTCGTCAATTTATGATTCTTGAGCGTAGCTTCGCAAGATCGTACTTCTTTCGTGTTATTTTTTCGTCGTAATTTAATAAAATGTGCAGCGAATTAATACTTGATGTGCTTTGCAAAGTGCCGCGCAACCCTATTTAATTATATTTCTCCGAGTGAGTGTTATGTGAGTGCGACGAACAGTAATCAAAGAAGAAGAGGAGGAGGAGGAGGTCTGGGAAGATAACAGTATCGGATAACACCAGAGCAATTATGGCGTAAGCATGTAAGTAATTTATTGTTCACTTATTACTTATTATTATTTATTATTCATCGAAAATTTAATTACTTAAATATCTCCGCTTGAAAAAGACCAATAAAAAATTTAAAGCAAATTTATTGCATGCGATAATTATATTTTGCAGTGTTAATAATTAATTATTTATTTTGTGGATGTTGCTGTGACTTGGATATATATATATATATTTAGATATATTTGTATTTTACAAATCAATGCAGCTATGATACAATCATAACTCCGCTGCTGCGCGTCGTATCGGTCAGATTATCTTTTATTTTAATTGAGGCAATAGATCTGCGAAAATTATAATAGGATATACAATGTTAAAAATTTAAATTAAGAATATTATAGATAAAAGTATTGTAGATCAATAAAATTTTTATAGTAATATAATATGCATGTAATTATTAAAATACGAAGCAGAATATTTGTATATGACAATCGAAATTTCTGTTTGTAATTAACTCGTTATACATCGACTAATTATTGTATATACTATTTGTGCGATAAAAATTAAAAAAGAATTAGTCAAGCGATAAAAATAAATATCGTGGTGCGAAATATGAATGACATCGATACACGTAACCGCAATTAACAGACTTGAACATGTGAACTTTACGCGATATTGATTAACATTAAGATAACATACTATTATTTAAAAATTAATTAAGATTTTCCATGCAAAAATTTTTTATTTTATCAATTTTGATTTTCGATTATTTTCCAACGCGACTTTATTAAAGTATCTTATAATTATATATAATCCACATATAATTTTATTTATTTAACATTTTAATTTTTTTTATATTCGAGCGTAGCATATGAAATTTTAAAAGGAGGGAATAAAAATTTGTACAAATTAACTGCACGCCTATATAATTTTTACTTTGATAGTTAAGAGTTTCATATTGCTATATTTTTCATTCATATAATTATCATACTTTTTATCAGACATTACGTTAGCTGAAAGTAGATATATGTATTTACGAAATGATTACGATAAAGAAGATACATATATATATACACATATATGTATACTCAAAATACGGAATTCCATTTCTCTATTATCTCTGCATTGTTTCGAGAAATGTGTCATGCTCGGATTTTGACCTCCAGATTCGGATATGTTTTAACGCGAATATAAATATTATCATCTGTACCAAACAAAGATATAATGAGCTTGGAATTTAAAAAATTGCTTTATACAATTAATCTCAGAAAAAAAAACCGACAAATTTTGGATAGAAAAAAGATGACCAAGAAATCGGAATATGTTTGTTAATATATTATTGTATAATTATTTATTTCTATATATTAAACATAATAATTAAGAGTTTCATATTGCTATATTTTTCATTCATATAATTATCATACTTTTTATCAGACGTTACATCAGTCGAAAATAGATATATGTTTTTACGAAATGATTACGATAAAGAAGATATATATATATACATACACGTTAGATATATGTATACTCAATACGGAATTCCATTTCTCTATTATCTCTGCGTGCGTTGTCTCGAGAAATGTGTCATCCTCGGATTTTGACCTCCAGATTCGAATATGTTTTAACGCGAGTATAAATATTATCATCTGCACCAAACAAAGATATAATGAGCTCGGAATTCTAAAGATTGCTTTATACAATTAATCTCAGAAAAAAAAAAGAAACCGATAACAAATTTTGGATAGAAGAAAGATAACTAAGAAATCGGAATATGTTTGTTAACATATAATTACTTATTTCCATATATTAAACATAAAACTATAACAATAATAGAGATAACGATCGCAAAATCAATGCTTCGAGAAAAACCAGAAAGCGAATCGAAACGTTTGCAATTTTTACGATTGTTATTTCTGCAAATACAGGAATTATCGTACATAAATTGAAGCAAATATTTATACGCGTACAAAAAATTGATTTCATTAATTAAAATTATCACAATATATATGAAAAAAAATCTTTTTTCGAATCTAACAATAAGCGGATTTTATTCTCACGCGACGCGATCGAGTAGGTATGTATCAGTGTGTTGTGACATTTCTAGTCACGCACGTAAGCAGCGTGTATTACTAGATACAGATTGATATATCTGTGTTCATGGATAACGTTCACCTAACCTCTCTGTAAAAGAAGCACCAGGGGAACAATGACGCGATGATCGATTCCCGAGGTATGCGATCGCCGTTGCGATCACGCGTCCTCGCCGTTCCGCGATTCGCTGCATCGCAGCGTCAGGTGTCCTTTCGTTGGCATTACATAACGATAATTAGGTAGCTTGATCGTTTACCGATGAACGCTTACCTTGCGAACCCAGCATTATTACTTTTCCCTCTATCGTCTTCATGTTCGATACACTACATAATCAAACTACTGAGCTGTCCGTTCCGTTGAACCGGGATTCACGCGTGCTACTCAATTAGGCAACCAAAACAGCTGTTTTGACGTTTACCACGCTTCTAGCGGATATCTCGCGGTTATATTGATGTTCTGATCGGTAACTTGGGTTCATCACTTTATCTGGAGCCACTCTTTGACATCATTCTCTAAAGCCATCTTCCAATAGTGTGCGATGACTTCTGCCGCCTCCTTCTTCGGTTGATAAAGATAATTAATTAACAGAATAGCTAACAATAGACAGCAGACTTATCTCATTTTCCACGTTAAATGCGAGGCCAAGTCTGATCGGGTTAAAATTGTTAGATTGATCAAGTAATTAAAGTTTATCATAAGCAACCGTCATTCGATAAGTTATCTACAGAGGTAACTCTGATGAGTCATTTTAATCTCGCGTGTGTGATCAGTTTTACGTATTCTTGTATAGATGGCAATCTCCTATATTCATTTATCATTTTGATGATTCCTCGTAATGATGACGAATAATCGTTTAGTTTTAGCGAATCTTTTCGAGTTCAATATACTCTATAGATATTCGCATACATTTACACTACATTATATATACATCATATATCTTTTATGAAGATAATGCGACAAAAAGAAGAAAAATTGAAATAAAATAAAATGGGATAATTAAAGGTTATTTTTTATTTACATCCCTTAATTTGAAAAAAGTCAATAATTATTATATTTATGCGCTATTGTTTATAGATATGAGTATATATTTTTAAAGATTCGCCATTTCTATTCGAGCAGTTTATTTCTACAAGACGGAATATCAAGCATCTGTTTTTATACGATGAAACTTGTCTCTCATTTAACACAACAGTGCAACTTAATTAATATTAAATATAGAGTATACGGGCGGGTAATTAGTTAACGTGGAATTTATCTTGATATCAACGTGCGTACCAGTGCGGCTGTTATACATTCGTATGCGACTTCGTTATATTTTATCACGGGGAATTACCCTCATTTTCGATTTCATGGCGAGATCGGCGTTTTACGGTACGTCGCATCGTCGGCGTGCGCAGACGTTAGTTTAATTCGTGTTACTTCCCTCATAAATCCGTCGGGACTTGGTGCGCGTCTACAGGACGACGATATAACGTGGTGCATAACGTAAAATTCATATATGTACTCACGTGTATATATCGCGGTAAAGCGTTCGCCGAAGTACGAGGGTTGGAGGAGGGTGGAATCGTAGACCAGGAAACCACGAGAGAGAGCCCTCGCGATTCCAACGCTCGTTTTCGATCCCACCCTGGCGAGTGCTTTTCCCTCCCTCTTCCCCTCCCGTCCCTATCTCTCTCTTTCTCTCTCTCTCTCTCTCTCTCTCTCTCTCTCTCTCTTTGAGCCTGGCTGTTCCGATTCCAGACAGTTTTTGCTGAAACATCGTACCGTTGATCCGGCATTTTCCAGGCTGCTTGGTTTATCGCTCGGCTTGATCCCTCTGTTCGTACCGCGGTGTTACAAGCCCCTGCAATCGATGTTTTCGTCCCATCTTTCTTACTCGAGCTACATTCTTACGGCCTCTCCTCTTCTTTCCGCCTCCCTTTCCTCCATCGTTCTGCCGCTCCTCCCTTTCGCGTTGCCTCCGTTATCGGAATTTACCTATATATTTCCTTTTATCCCTGTTTCTTTCCATTTCTCTCTCTCTCTCTCTCTCTCTCTCTCTCTTTCTCCCTCTTTGTCCCAACCTCGGTAGATAACCGCTACCGTTTGTCTCTCGACTCTTATAGTTACATATACGTGGCGATGTAAAGCTCTGTACGATCCCCTGACCGTGCATTCAAGACCTCGATCTCACTTGAAGGAGAAGGAATAATCGACTTACGATATCGAGTGAAGTTACAATACAGATACATTACGTTATGCCAGAGAGAGAATGGAGTTTTATCGAATTTTTATTTCTCAAGAAACAATCTAAACCTTTGGTGCACGAATTATTCGTTGCAGTCAAATTTTTTGAAATTTTGTACCTAAGGGTTTTTTTGGGTCGCTGATCACGAATCTATTTAGCAAAATTCAATATGACGGATCCAATGTGACAGACCAAAATTAAAAAAAATACTTTATTTGCCTTAAAAATCGGTATATAGAGGTCTTTTTGATTGCAATATCCTTATTCTCTCTCTTATCATAATCGAAATTTGCAACATTTCAGTAACGTTACATGCCGTGGGTAATTTATTCTGGGAATTTCATTTCAAAATTGTAATCATCGACTCAAAAAACCCTAATACATCAATTCTCAAAGCAAATAAAACCCTTAAGTTTTATTAAATAATTTTTTTTTAATTTTTGGTCCGCCATGTTGGATCCGTCACCCTGAATTTTGAAAATCTGACTTCATTTTCGTAACCAGCGACTCTCAAAAATTTTGATTAATAACCTATGCCAAAAAATGTATCTATATATATATATACACACACATTTTTTTAAAGTAGGGTTTTTTGCGCTCAATTTATTTATAACCAATCAATTCAAGTTGTAAAATAAAAATTCCTGTACCTAACTTGTTATTAAAGTAGTATCTGAGGATCATATAACAATTTATTGCATTTAATGCAGAAATCTTAAAAGTGGAGTTTGAGAATCAAAAAACGAAAGAGAAAAAGATGTTGCATATATGCAACATCGTGCAGTAAAGGGTTAAGAAATGAGGTGTTTGTAATATCGATGTGATATCTGCTATTTTACTCTCGTCGGGATTTCGCTTACAATATTCGATTTACTTTCACCATGTATTTTGACAATTCCTTCGCGAATGGCCGATTCCCGTTTCACGATCGCGTTTGTCCATTAACTCGATTCCCTTTAATGCATCGTAGCTGCAGCTTCTCTACGGTGTTTTGACACTCGCCGATGCGTAACGTCGACCATTATAACATGCCGCCCAGTCCATTTTGCAACGCGATTTATTTGCGTCACCCTTCCACCCTCCTGAGAATCGTCGCGACGCTCGCTGCCGATAGAATCATTGTCGTATTTCATAGAGGGGTAGGAGGATAGACGGGGGAAGAGCGAAATCCCCCGGAAGTGGACGAAGTGGTGCAATCTCGAAAGATTGTGTGCGTCGCAGACAGGAAGCGCGCGGTCAGAGGATATAAATTGAATCGCGGGGTTTCGCATCCGACGCGTAAAAGCGAGTTCGCACGCCCTTTAAATCGTCAATGCGCCACTGTCTCCCCGATTCCCTACCCCTGTCGCTTTATTGCGGCGCTAGACAACCATTATGGAACGGAAGATGCCAATAATTTTCGTGGCGCGCCGCGATTACGTCGTTTGTCCAACTTGGCGACAGTGCGGTGTTCGTTAATTCGGTGTTCTTGACTTTCGGATGTGTGTTTGCTGTTTTGTTCGAATGACTCCTCACCCCTAACGTGAAATATGAAATGTTCTTTTCTTGGGGTGTGTTCAAAAATTGACTGCCAGTATTGAATAGCACTTTCAGTGTTGGCAGTAAATTTGGAACACGATCTTGATACTATAATCGAATATATTTGAAATATTAAATCATTAATACAAGAAACAAATTTATGTTAGGCGTTATCTAATATTCAGAAGGAACGATTTTGCTGAAGTATCTAAAAATTTAGCCAAATACACACCTGAAAATTATTTTGTTAAATGTCAAAATAATTATGGCAAAACATTCAAGCATAATGGACAATGTTTTATACTAAAAAAAGTGATCTTACAATTATAGTGAAAATTATCTAATGTAAATATGACAAATTAGCTAAAATAGATAAATTTTTAACAAGTATTGCGATTTGTATTGAATCTAATCACATAGATGACAGAGATAGAATTTAGATTTGTGCTATAAATTCTATGTGTATGATACATAATTTTCCATCGGATACAAAAAACAGTGATAATTCTAGCTGGAGTAGCAAAATATTTTTTGTGTAAAAAGGTTTGACGTTCTAGCAGCTAGCTTGAACATCTAACATAATTATTTTGATAGTTTAAAGCAAATTATTTTCGGATATCTTATCTAACTGTAGATACTCGTTTGTATCTAACTAAATTTTTGAATACTTTTGCAAAATTATTATAATCATTATAATTATAATAATTTCTTTTGTGTATTTATATCTTTTTCGATGTAGTTGTTAATGTACTCTACTTCGTAAGACGAAAATAAGATAATAATAAGAAAAAGTATTATACGAACTATATGTCGCAAGAACGAAACTTATTGTTAATTAAAGCTATCGCAGATATGGTGAGCCGCAGGATTAGTCCAGAGTATTCTCGTACCGGTCGTGGTGACCTGTGGCTAGCCGTTGGCTTAGATACACGGGGCTTAGATTCGCCTTGGGTTTGCTTTAGGCCACCCTCACGAAGGCGATACGTCAACGTCATAATGGGGGTCATAAATCCAGCTCGCACGCGCCTAAACCTCGCTCGCTTGTGGGGGGGGGGGGGGGGCCGCACGCGGACCACGAATCGCAACCGTCCGTAATCCATCCGCGCGTTCATACCTCTGCCTTAGTTTGCACGTTGACTTCATTGGATATTCTAGAGACTTCATCCGTCATGTAGTTTGCGCTCGAAGCGCCGTGAGAAAGTGCCTACAGGCAAATAAGTACACAGATTATACATCGTTGTTAATTCTTTTGGATTGTACATTGAGAGAAAAGTGCTTGGTACTATAATTTTATATATAGTTAAAATAGTTAGTTAAAATAATTATGGTTAAGAGCTCCATTTTTATGTTATTATTGTTATAATAGTTATTTTTTATGCCACTTATATATACATTTTTTGGTATATAGAAAAATTATTATTATTGTTAACATTATAGCCGTAATAAGTGTAATAATTTTATAAAAATGGAACTTTTAATCATAATTATTTTATTATACAATTATAATCACAAATACCAAAAATATATTCACTTCTGTCAATATATATTAGGTGTTGGAATTAATTCGTAGCGTTTTACAAGTGATTGGAAGTACTTTCATTAATGTATTTTTTAATGCTCATGTGAAATAAATAACATTCTTTCATTAAAAAACGCTACGAATTAATTCCAACACCTAATATTTAAAAAAACAGTAACAATGTCTAGAATTTCATATGCAATTGATATAAAGTATGCTGTGTTTATAGAAAAAAATCATTTGAATATTTTATTGATAGAAGAAAATTTATCAAAACGCACATTCTTCA